TGACGGTGACAACCGTAGGGTTTTAGCCGGTAAGAGTCCGGCATAAACTTTCTGTTGCCCTCACAGCTGAAGGTGAGGATGTCCCCGCGAAAAAAAATAAGCAGATCATTATCATCAGTGCATTAAAATATTATGTTGTTACTGCGACTATGACATAAACAAATATTGGCGCAATTAGGTACTGTTATCGCATTCCCTTTCTAATTTGGATATTGGTTTTCTTGATAATGTCCATTATCTGGTACGTGATTAGTGTCGTACCGATAAGTGGTATCAGTGTCCGCCCCGCAGACAGCTGACTTGTTGACGCTCTTCCAAAACTAAAGGAAAGTTTGCGTTTAGTTGTTTTTATTTGTAATATCAACGAACGAAAAGTGTTAAAGTTTCTTCAAGATGCTATCGAGTGAGTGATCATTTTGTTATTAACGGTGTCTTATTTAGTAAGTTCATTTGATTGCTTCTAACCCTGTGTGCACGGAATAGGTTGGGATTAGATATGATAAGCAGTTTATCACGCACACATGTCCAGTTTATTTTTATTAATTTTAGTGCGGTTTTTGTCGGTTTGTACAGATTTATTGGACTTTTATTACACGCCAGCAGGTAATTTAGCTTAATGTGATTTACTAGGAAGATTTAGCCTTACTCACCACACAGATTTGAGGAATTAAAGAATCAACTGTTCAGTATACTTCAATCTAATTACCTTAGGTACTATTTTTAATTCAAACTTTTATGAAAAGTGTATAATGTAACTAGGTATGTCCGTGTTATGCAAAACTGGGGTGAGTTATTTGTTATAATAAAATTTATAATATTATTTAAATTAAATATTATTTAAAAGGATGAGGGATAGTGAACATTTGATATATATTTAATTACACATCAAACTCTTAGATATATCTTTTATAGAAGAAGGGGCCAACGAGCATGCGGTGCACCTGATGATAAGTGTCGACCGCCACCCATGCAAAATTGCAACAGCAGCGGATTGCAGTTGCGTTGTCGGCCTTTTAAAAGGAGTTGGAGTTGGAGGAGTTTAAAAGAAGTTGCTGTGGCCCATAGACATCTACATTTATAATCGATTAAGAATCAAAATGCAGATGCGTTGTCACCCCTGAGGATTAAGATAGAATGCCTCGTTTCCTGTAAAAAGGATCTCTGGTTCTCTACCCTCACCATACGAAACACAGCAGCATTAAGCTGCTATTTTCATCATCCTACAGAAACTAAATAAAACGGAGCTCGAATTAGCAAGGCAAGCGTTTGTACAATAAAACTCTCAGCTTCAATCTATATCTTTCGCACACACAGACCCATATGAACATGAACACTAGGTTTGTCAAATTAGCAAAAAAGTACCTTGTATATCCAATTGCACATCTTTGTAATCTTAGCTTAGAACGGGGAATATTTCCCGATTTATTTAAAAGGGCTATAGTGTCTCCAATTTTTAAAATAGGGGACAAACAAGATGTCTCGAACTATAGACCGATTTATATGCTGTCTACCATGTAACAAATTGTGGAAGTGTTGATCAACTATAGGCTGAGTATTTATTTAGAGAATAACAAACTGTTAACTGTTAAAATTTACCAGACCATTTTAATGATCCTGATAAAATTAACCACCACTTTCTTAATATTCCGGACATAAGTAATACTGGTTCGTTTTATTCTAAATTCTTTAAAAGTTCTAAATATAACTCAAACACATTAAAGTTAATGCCAGTCCATGAAAGCGTAGTTACAAAAGTTATGGCTATCAAGTCGAACGCACAAGGGGTTGATCGAATTGGTATGGAAATGATACTTTTAATACTACCACAAACATTAAAGGCTATAACGGCAATAATTAATAGGTCTATCACAGAATCAATTTTTCCTTCTCAGTGGAAAGCCGCACTAATTCGTCCCGTACCAAAAAAAGAAAACGCAGTTGATTTAAGCGATTAGCATTTTACCATATTTATGAAAAATATTGGAAAAAAGTTGTACACTTTCAAATAGTATACTTTTGTGAACTAAATAAAATACTACCTAAGTTACAATCAGGGTTCACAGGGTTACGGTCAGGAAGAGTCATGGGACAGCTACAGCCCTTATAAATGTCGTAGATGACGTGCTGTCTTTTTCGGATTCTGGCAAAGGCACGATCTTTACTCTTTTAGATTTTTTAAAAGCATTCGATTCGATAAATACGGATTTGTTAATAGATAAACTATCGTATTACGGTTTTGATAACGGGGCATTGGTGTGGTTTAAGAGTTATCTCAATAATCATCTACAACAAGTTATAATTAATAGGAATGATGGCGAAAGCTATGTTTCACAACTTCTTCCTGTCAATAAAGGTGTCCCTCAAGGATCTATTTTGGGCCCTTTGCTTTTTATCATTTATAGTTCCGATATAACAGCATGTCTTGAAAATTGCAAATACCATATTTATGCTGATGACCTACAGGTGTATATTAGTGTAGATAGTAAAAATGTAAATACAGCGGTAGATAAGTTAAATGAGGATCTTCAACGCATTAGTTCTTGGTCACAAAATAACTCCATGCTCCTTAATCCTACAAAATCTAAGTTTATTATTATAGGTACTAAAAAGCAGGTAAAGGACATAACTTCGACTGATCCTAACGTACGTATTGATGGGGTAAACATTTAACGAGTTTTTGAAGTACGAAATCTTGGGGTTCTTATGGATAGTTTTTTAAAGTTTGAAAATCATGTAATTAATATCGTAAAAAGTTGTTTTGTCCAATTGAAAGTTTTATATTCAATCAGGCAGTTTATCATTGTAGACTTAGTAAACCTTAGTTAGTGAAACCTTAGTTCTGTCTAAACTAAATTATTGTATAACTTTGTATGGACCTTGTCTATTTAAAAAATTTAATTCAAAGGGTACAAAATGCTCGCGCTCGTTACTGTTTTTACATCCCAAGACGAACACATGTTACACCTTACCTTAATGCCTCTAATATGCTTAAAATTCTGGAAGTCTCAAATTATTTTATGCCTCCCTGCTATTTGGAGTGATAAAAACAAAGAAACCAGAATACTTATATGAAAAGCTTCAGTGGAGACAAAATCAACATATGTACGGTATCCGATAGTGTTCAAAAGTACTATGCATACCTCAACATAGGACATCAACATTTCGTGGTAGTTACAAATTTATGGCCACAAAACGGTGGAATGATCTTCCACCACCATAACGAGTCATAACAAATAAGAACAGTTTTAAGAGAAAATACAAAGAGTATTTATTAAGTATGCAGAAAATGTCATAAATATAAAAAAATTCGGCAGGGGCTGAATATCCCACATTTAGTTATATGCAATTATGTGACTTACATTTACTACCAATATTCTTTTTAATAACCATTACGTTGTTCTAGCATAATTATAATAATTATTATAAATAAATAAAACACTACTGTAGCTCTTACTTTTAATATTATTATTTTTTCATATTTTTGTTTATATTTCTTTTATATTTTGTTTATATTATGTTTATCTCTTGTACATGTATATTAATTATCAATTTATTAATAGAAATATTACGAAAACTTGTACTGGTTAATTATATAGTTCTTGTACTGGCTGAATGAATAAATAAATAATTTAACACTAAAAGCTATTTGTAAAATAATCCGTGATGTACGCGTACTGTTATACTCCAGCTCACTAAGTAGGTATATGGGTGCTGACAGAATAACAGCGTTGTAGATTCTCTGCCACACATGCTGAGTCAGAACCCTTTTATTGTCCTTCCAAAAATATCATTTTTGTATTAGTTTAAATTTTAAATATTTTATTACTTTTGGTCAATGAATATATAATAATTATATTATTATTATTAACTGATTATCAGTATGGGTTTCGCAAAGGAAAGTCAACGGATGACGCCTTATTGAAGTTGACATCTTTAATTCACAATTATGTTGATAGAGGAGAGAAGGTCATTGGTGTTTTTCTTGACCTAAAGAAAGCTTTTGACACAGTATCAATTCCGATACTATTGCCTAAACTAGAGGGCTTGGGCATCCGCGGTCATGTACACCAATGGTTCTGTAGTTACTTGGCAAGCAGACAGAAATACGTTAGAGTAGGTAAATAAAGACGAAGAATAAGTAAGTGAGGCCTCAACCTGTGGATTCGGTACTCCACAGGGCAGTACATTAGGCCTGACTCTCTTCTTGGCGTATATTAATAGTCTGCCAAACGCATTAACATCTAATACTAATATTTGCTGATGACACAGTCGTACTATTTCATGGATAGAGTTGGAAACAATTACAAACTTTTGCAGATACCTGTTTTGAGAATGTCACAGCCTGGTTAGAGAATAACCTACTCACATTAAATATTTCAAAGAACAAATACCTCCGCGTCTCGAGATCTGCAAATTCAGGTCCAGCTTAAGACTAAACAATCACACTACATTCTTTACCATGTAATGGAAAGCTTACTAGCCAATGCAATTGCAGCACATTAACTAGAGTCAGATGTATTAGATACCTAGGTATTCAAGTGGATGATACTTTGAGCTGGAAAGAACAAATCATTCGCATCTGTTCTCGGGTTAGAAAACTTATATATATATATATATATATATATATATATATATATATATATATATATTTAGACAATTAAGAACAGTCGCTAGTAAAAAAAATCTTATTCAGACTTATAAAGCGCTCTGCCAAAGTATCATTAATTATTGTGTGACGACGTGGGGTAGCGCACCAAAAACAACAATGATTCAACTTGAACGTTCGAAAAGAGCAATTTTAACAGTACTAATGCACCTACCGTACCGACATTCTACTAGTAAAGTCTACAACGAGACTCAGGTACTTTCAGTTCGCAAGTTGTCTACAATTCAAGCTCTCCTGAGATACCACCGTGTAACTGCCTACTCACTACCACGAACCAGTAAAAAAAGATTTCGGTGCCCTATACCCATTCTTC